GCATCTTGTCCAACAAGTGTGATATACATACTCCCAATGGGAATAATGTGATACAGATCAATGGGATTCAGCAGACATAGGTTCAGTCCCCAGTTCCACCATGGAAACTTGCTGGGGGGTGGAACTGAAAAAACTGGTCCATAAATACTTCGCTTACCTTGAATATGCTAATATTATTCTTTCATGCCATTAAGGTGCCCCCAGCTTACAGTGGCCAAATGAATGAGAGATCTCCAAAATTTTCCTGTCATCTATAGCCCTGCTCAGCTCTTGTAAACTCAAGCCTGTGGTTTCCTTTAGGGAACCAATCCATCTTGTACATGATCATCTTCTTTTCCAGCTGCCTTCAAACTTTCCCAACATTATTGCCTTTTCCAGAGAATTCTGCCTTCTTATGATGTGACCAAAACAGGACAGTCTCAGCTTCATTATTTTTGCCTCCAGAGATAATCCAGGTGTAATTTTCCTTAGAACCCACTTGTTTAGTCTTTCTGGTAGTCTAGGGTTTTCCACCAAGCTCTCCTCCAGCACCACAATTCAAATGAATATTTTTCCCCTGTCAGCTTTCTTCACTATCCAGCTTTCACACCCATACACAATATTCAGGAATACAAGAATGTGGATGATCTTGATCTCCAGTGACACATCCTTATACTTAATTATTTTTTTTCTAATTCCTTCAATGCAGCCCTTCAGAGTCTCAGTCTTTGTCTGATTTTTTGGATGGAGTCTCTGTTGATGGTTGAACAAGGCATAAAAAATCTTTAGGTATTTAAATTTCTTCATTATCAACATTAAAGTTGTGTAGTTCTTCTGTAGTTATGATTTTTGTCTTCCTAATGTTCAACTGCAGTTCTGCTTTGAAGCTTTCTTCTTTCAGTGTCACTAAAAGTCATTTCAAGCCATTGCTGTTTTCTGCCTCTAAGGCAGTGTCATCTGCATATTGTAAATTGTTAATGTTTCTTCCACCAATTTTTACTCCTCCTTCATCTGAATCTAGTCTAGCTTTCCATACACTATGTTGTGCATGCAGATTGAAAAGATAAGAGCATAAAAAGCATCCTTGTCCAGTATCTTTGCCTATAGGAAAACATTCTGTCTCTTCATATTCTGTACTAACGGCAGCTTATTATCCATAATACAAGTTACGCATAGGCATAATCAAGTGCTGGCAGTTTTTCATGATCAGTAAAGTCAAAGGCTTTGCTGTAGTCAATAATGCAGACTAATCTTCTAAAACCTTATTAGGGTTGCTATAGTCATTTCTGACTTGACAGCACATAACAGTCAAAGAACAGTAGGAGTCTGGAACACAATCTCTCAAATGAGATTGGGACTGATACCAATCCAGTCTTGAGGGAGCTGTCCAATGTCTAGTACATAGAATTCCCTTAGTTAGGGGACACTGCAGCTACTATAAATTTCCCAAGAACCTCTTCAGAATTAGAAACTCTGTATCTTAGGAAGCTTCCAACATCCATGGCAGTGGCACCTTGAAGCAAGGTATACAAATTGGATATGTATGCTTCCTTAATCAAATGTGACAACTGCTACTTTCCTTCAGGTTCTGTAATTTCAGAAGATTTGTAGGTGAACCCTCAGGGATCAGTATAGAAATACATGGTAGTTTAAAAGATGGATCATTAGGATTTCTCATTTTTTACTTCTTTTTTGGAGTCTGATGAATAGGAATGGTGGCAATGCATTGCACTGATCTTTTTTTACTGCTTGGTACTGAGATAGATGTTTTAAGTAATGGTTGTGCTGTTGTCAATATTGATGGTGCTGAAACTAGAGGTATAGGACTAAAAACTGATGATGGTGAGGTCATGAAAACTGATATCTCAATAGTACGTTCAGAAGATTGTTTTGAGATTCCTACAGTCTAAGGATTGGAAGGTTAAGTCTTCTTGAACAAATCTGAAGAGAATATTGCCTTGTCCCAAATTAATGCTCATATGTAGCCTCCCTATTTTTCCTACCTTGGAGGTAGGGTAAATACCAGGCACTGTCTGCATGTGTGAGTGTAATGGAGTTCACTCAAGCACTTAAGACACAGAGTGTCTGTCAGAGACAGGTATCTTAGCTCTGCAAGCCATATACTTTTTGAAGAGGGATTTGGGGGCCATGAAACCAATAGGATAGGAACAACAAGGCTAACTACTATTGTTAATCTTGTTATTTGTTAATCCTGTTTTAATATATACACAGGAGAACAAAAAGGTCATTAAAAAGAAGAACAAAAGTGTAGTAAGCTATTTACATTCAGATATAAAAAGGTTTAGCATTGAGAAGATGAGAAGGATGGAGCAACTCAAAGATGTGGCTGCTTCAGTGGTGAACAAAAAGGCTAAGGTAAAAAAAGAGAAAAATGTCTGGACATGCTCATTTGAGTGAATGGGGCTCCCATCAAAATGCAAGGCTCAGCAATGGAAGATTCTAGAACATTCTGTGCAGGCATAATTAGACCCATAGGTATGAGTGTCAGCAGCTGTTTTTCCATAACAAGCATAGTACACTCATATTTGAAGTGGTCCTCTATCTGACTGAGAATGCCGCATTATTAACCAATATACAGGCAAATATATAAAAATCACAGCACACATGGCAGGAAAAGCTGCTTATCTACAAAAAAAGATGCAGAAATTACTACTAGGAGCTACAAGGTGCATGCCTTCCAAGATTATAATTTCTATTCTGATAAGACCTGGTTGCTCTGTTCCTGAACTACCACTTGGCACAATGTCAAGATATATGACAATGAGAAGAAAACAGATGAATAATTAGTTGGTTGGCTACCATTATTTGTCATTTACTAATGTTTTTATCTTTTTGCACCTGAAACAGAAATTTTGTATTTTGTGGGAGGAATATTGAGAAAAACATATTAATGCTTTCCCAAATCTGTTGCAATAATAATTACGCAAAACACAAAAAAACCTTTTCATCTATTACCAATTAACTTTTGACATGTCAAGTTATTCTTTAAAAAAATCTATCTTTTATTGAGATCACAGAATACAACTTTTTCGACATGTTCATTACGCTTATTCATTAAATGTCTAACACACAGAAGCACAAACAAGCTAAACTTCCTAGCCAAATGTGTCACCAGTAAAAAAAAATCTAATGATGTCAATATAAGAAGACCAATTGTTCTTAAACTGTGCTGTTGGGTATTAATTATATTTCAGTCTTGTAAAATATCTAATTGATTAATGATGTACTCCAACTGAAAAGGCTTTGTTCCAAGTACAGATACAAAGAAACTGGAGTTAACTAGTTGCAAGTAAGAAATTTGCAAGTGATCTTTCTTGCGATGAAAGGTATAATTACATCACATTACAAATATAACTTGAGCTATAATTTCATTTTTTGTGTGTGTGGTATAACTCACATTTTAAGATCACTTTTATAGTTTATATGAAGTTTGTTAGTTCGTTAACAAACTAGTTTGGTTATGTTTATTTTATATGCCAATAAAGGTTTTATTATTATTTTTTTGTATATAATGTTATAATGTCACTAAATGATGGAAGATGAATGTATCTTAGTTCAAATGCTGGCTTCTACTATGCCTCATGCTGCTTCCTCATGCTTTGTCATGGGTAGTCAGGCAATAATACAATGCACATAGGGAAAGTGTGATGCTTTTAGCACCTGCATTTTCCTCCCAAAGTAACTAAAAGACAATTGTTTTATCTCTGAGAAATAAGCAAGCAAGATGTTACTTTTAAAAACCTCTCTAATAGGTAACAGATTATTGTGGGATTAGCATTCTAACTGAAAATATTTAGTTTTTAAATGTAACTTCCTTAAGCTTTGCATATACATAGATTTGGGTTGTGTAAGATTCTCCAATATCACATCCAATACTGTATCAGCTTTAAACCATGCATTTTCAAATGTTAAGCCAAATTTCCAGAGCCATAAAACTGATTTAATGCATAGTTGTGTCTAATTTTACTTACATATAAAAATGCTTTAAATTATGAGTCGTGCCCAGTTCTGTATTTCTGCCAGAGGAATAGCAGAATTCATCAGAATGGGGGTGGGTGGGTTCTCCACTGAGCCCCCCTGGGTGGCCCCAGAACTTGCTTTGGAGGGCTGGGAAATCATCTGGAAAGGTCTGAATGGAAGGATGCCACATGAAGAAGAAAGGATGAATGTTCTATAACAATCACCAGTGGAAAGTGTGATTCAGCCCTATTTATGGGTCTAGTATAGACACGCTAAGAGAAGTTATTTTATCTGGTCAAGAATATAAAAAGTTGCCTTACACCCAGCCAGAGTATTAGTTATGTATTGTTCACAACAGCTAACAATTATCCAGGGTTTCAGGTAGTATTTCTTCTTCTCTGGCTGGAGCTCTGGGGAGTCTCAGATTTGGACCTTTCTTAATGTAAAGCACATGCTCTACAACTAAGTCACAACCATTCCTCAATGGTCAAGGACTTAATAATGTGTTATGAGGATAAGTTGATTCTGTATATCTATATATGTCTTGCTTCGGTTTGGTTTTTACAATGTTGCAAATACACATTTTGTATATTAACAAACCTCATTACGATGTCAGCTGTTTGCTTTATTCTTGGACTGTAAATATTTCATTAAAGAAATGTGTGTTGAGCACCATGGAACATCTAATTATGACTTGACATGCAACTAATTTCCCAGCAAAAACATAGATGCTATTTACTAGTTTAATTTCCCCAAAGCAGACCTTTGCAAATGACGGTGAACCAATACACACAGTGAAGCTACAAGGGCTTGCGATTGTATTTCTGTGCACGCACAAACCTTTATCAGGTAGCATGCTATTATGGTAGTTTATGTGGACTGGAACATACAGAAAACTCACATAACACTGAAGTGGAACCCAGTTCATAAAAATTACTTCAACACCAATTCTTATATACATAGCTATCCACAAATTACTACTGTCAAGCTGCACAGACTAATATGCAAAGATGTAGAAAACACTAAATTCCATTCTATACCTAACAGTTTCTTGCTGTCCAATTTTTGTCTGTTCAGAGGATTGGTACCATAAAGCAATGTGTGCGCTTCTGAATGAACAGTCTGTAGCTCTTCTAGAGTCGCTTTCCTTCCACGTATACACTGCAAAGAAGGAAAGAAAGAAGAAAGAACTGAAATTGCATTTACATTAATTTAATACAAGAAGTAAGGAGAGAGGTGGACTAACAGAAGTTATACACATATTTATTTTCCAAAAATTGATCTTGGGATTTGACAAAATTGATATTTCATGATGAAATTTTAAATAATTATTTCTTACAATAAAGAATCACAAATAATTATGAGACTATATTTTTCCTATTTTGGATTCTGAACTTAATGGAAAGAATGTATTTTAACAATAATAAAAAGCATACAGTAATTATTCTCTTAACTAGTTCAACTGGCTCAGTACAACTGATTATGTTACAACAACCTTAAAAAGATGGATTTAACAAATAATAAACTTCAAATGAAATAGCACTTGTTTGACTCAGTGGCTGAAGTCCTGCTGCTTAACATAGTAAGTCACAACTAAAGTAGGCTCACAGAGGAGTTGACTCACCAAATCTCCACAGATTCAGTGGACTTACTTTAGTTGTACTGTATTTTACTATGCTAAAACAATAAGATTCCAACTGTCTATTTAGAAGCATTGTTCATTAAAGTAAAGCCATCTCTGAAAATGAAATGTATATCCTATAAAACCAACAATGCCACATCAGGCTACAGAGGACAAATGAGTTGGGGGAAGTAGCATCGGCTGCAGCAAGCGGGGCACTGTAACAGCCACCTGATACCTCACAAAGGGGCCGTTACGTCACACTCAATCACTCTTCGTTTCCACTGCCACCAACCATTCCTTCAAATGAAGCTTCAGGCCAAAGTATGATTTCAAAATAAAAACTTAGGTTTATTGTATACAAACAAAAGGAATGGTAAATCACTTGAATATAAATAATACTTTAATCACTATAATATTATAACTATCACACACCCACTCTCACAGACTCTCTCAATGTA